TGAATTGAAAAATTGAATTGAATATATCCATAAACCTGTCCATTTTTAGCTCTATTTTTGTTGTGACCTTTTCTATAATAAACATCCCATTCATCTTTTGTTGCCATTGTTTTGTGTCTGAGGATTATGCAACCATTAGTTTGTAGTTTTTTGCCTGTATGTTTTATGCTTTTTGAAAATTTATTTTGAATCCAAGATTAATTCTGTTTCCTTTTTAACATCCTTCCAGTATCCCCGCAAATTTGGACTTCCCCATAGTATAGGCTATGTGCAAGGTTTCCTTAGGCGCCACAACCCCTCCAACATAAGCATGATATTCCATATTTAGCTATTATGACTGGGATTCTGAAATACCGTTTTTTGACTTTGCAGTCAAATTCTCTCCAATTTGGGCTATTTGTTAGTTTATGTCCAGACAGAATCTTGTTTTAATTGGTTATTTTTTCGCCCTTATTACTGTATGTATTACCTATGACAGAAATACTTTCATCAAGCCAGCTTGGACCAAACTCCTAGAGTTGTCCAGTCACAGTAAAATAAAATGAATGAAATAAGACTCTAAATCAGCAACAGCAAATCAGCCACAACATTCCAGGTCAAACTATTGCACTCAACATGTTGCGATTATTTATATTTTAGCTGGTGACTTTAATCAAACAGACCTCATAACTGTTTTAACTAAATTTTACTAGCAAGTCCAAATCCCCACTAAGGTAAGGCTGTGTACTACAAATGTGCCAATCAGCTAGATGATGTCATTACTGACATTTTTAACATATCACTGTCACACCAGCTTCAAGACTGCCACCATGGTCCCTGTATCTACAAAGTCTGTAGTATCTAGTCTAAATGACCCCCATTATGATCAGCTTTGAGAAACTGGTTCTCCAGCACATAAATAACATTTCTGCCAGCCTGGACCCTCAACAGTTTGCATTTAGAACCAACAGATCCATAGAGGATGCCATCTCCACTGCCCTTCACTCTCCACACACCTTGAGAAACATTACACCTACATTAGAATGTTGTTAATTTTAGCTCAGCTTTTCAACTCAATCTTCCCCATGAAATGGCAAAGTCAGCACTCAGGGCCTGAGTACCAGACTTTGCAACTGGATATTGGACTTCCTTACAAACAGACCCCAGACAGTTCTAATTGGTGGTCATACCTCCTCCACTGTTCACACTGCACAGCCATCCCTGATCAGCCAGAGAGAACATCATACTGCTTAACATCAACCCCACCAAATGGTTAAATGTTGATTTTAGGAAAAAGGAAGCAAACACACACACCCGTCTCCATCGGTGGCTGCAGCAAGTAATTAAAGCCGCTTAGAAGACCATTGGTACTCAGATACCCAGCATCAGTAAACTTAGTGAGGTAAAGGCCTGTGCAGAACCCAAAGGATACTAGAAGACAGCACCCACCCCAAGTATCTGCTGCCATACCACCAGACTGCTGAGCAGATTCTTTCCTCAGGCAGAAACTTTATCTTCTGCACTCTACCATTATTAATATTTTTTTTGTTTTGTTTTTGTGTGTAGCAAAAAGCTTGTATTTTGTTGTACAATCTTGTGTTGTAGAATGCTAAATAAATTAACCCTGAACCTTTATTTGGTGACGGCCATAACATAAACCTATACTGTCATGCAACAGAGTCTTCTGTTAAAATGTGTAGGAACATTGAGGTAATTAAAAGGAAATCAAAGTCAGCAAAAATATTATTATATATCGGACCAGTGGCTTTCCCCACTTTGCAACTCCTTATATTAAGAGCCCACCAGCATGTCTGTTTGGAAACATTTACAAAGCTCGGCACCTCCAACTGCCAAAAAGGGGTTAGGGTTTGGGAAAAAATTTTTTATTTTTATTTCAGCACACCCCTTGTGTTGTCTACAAAACATAGCTAGTTAAAGATAGGCATCTGGAGACTGTGTGTGTATGATAGTAATATTATTACATTGTTTTTTGTCACAATGCATGCTTGTATACATTTGTTTTGTCCTCCTCTGTTTATGGGATTTTATATGTGTGTTTCCTACTCCTTCAAACAGCCACTTTTCTTGTCTCCCCATATCCAACAAGTCAATGTCTACTCACTGTTCCAGGGCTGATTTATGGCCTGCTATTGTTGTTCCTCTCTGATACTGTTGAATACTGCAGACTGTGATTGCCTCTTCAGACCTCTTGCCACTCTGTACCCTGTACTGTCACCACAGGGGCCCCTGAGGACCTTACATACACTCTAATTGGTTTGGGAAGGATTTGGCAGCCTTTGAACTAAAGAGAGACAGAGAGAAAAGTGGAGAGTGAGGCAAAGAGATGGAAAGATAAAGGGGGAGGGGTGGAGATGGTGCCAGTGTGGATGGGTATGTATTATATTGGCAGTTTTTGTCCTCATTCCTCATTCCATTCCTGAAAAAATAAATTTAAAAAAATGCAGTGATAACACTGACATATTCAAACAGTATGCATTTTACTCTTGAATAAACAATATTGACATGCGCAGTAATGCACGTCGCATGCAAAGTAGCCCTCAAATTGGACAGACTGCGGTGGAGTGAAATGCATTCACATGCGGACACAGAAGGGGCAGATAAAATGTGTCAGCCAGACAGAAAACTGTCAATTAAAAATGATCTCTGAAAGCCAAAGCTATTTTGAAGTCAGACCTACTACTACTACTCTCCCAACGTAATTCTGATGAGCAGAGTTAGTTATCAGACACAAATCTCTGTTTTATCATTGGAACCTTTTAAAGTAAAAGAGTAACACTGCACATTAATGGAAAATTACGCACACTCAATTATTTGCCTTCAGCAGTATCCAGAAGACTTGAATGTGAATGTGATTTCACAGACAGGGGCGCCAACAGATATTTTAGGGACAAGGCTGGTGAAATGACACACAGTCTACTCACTTTGGGTGTGTCTCAGACAGCTTATTGCTTCAGTGAGCAGGAAATTTACAATTTATCCAGTGCCAAATATTATACTGGATGTTCAGCTTCTGAGAGAATTTTCTAGAGTGCAGTGATCACTGCTTTGGAAGAAAACCCTCTGGAGGCCAGTAAGCACAGTGAGCACTTTTGCTTCACTTCAAACAAACCCCGTCATAGTCTAAATTTAAGTATACATGTTGTAGTATACATGATGTAAAGTTAACATTGTTATCAGTTAGAATAAGATAAAATAATTGGGGACTTTTGTATTGACAGTAAATTACAACAACAGATCAATCACACAGCATCTCCGAAACAGTACCACCAATTTCTTATGTTAAAAGCAAATGTAGTTTTGAGAGGTTTAGGCTATGTTCACACTGCAAGCCTTAGCGGTCAAATATGATTTATTCATTCATATTTGGCTGTCACATTACTTTGAAATGTTACCCATATCAGATTCCAGTGTGAACATGTCACGTTACCTGTATGATGAATGTAGATCTAGAGCAGTGTTTCTCAAACTTTTTAAGATCAAGGACCACTTAGCCAATTAAAAACAAATAAAACCAAAATTGATGTCTTCAGTGCTGGATTTTCCATGTTCTTGCAGAGTTTCACTTTGAGGGATTTTGTTTGACAGTGAACCATCTTCCCAGGACTCAATGCTAGCTGAAGCACTTGTTGCTGTTGAACCACTCCCATCAAGGCGATGCATCTTGCCTTGACTTGTTGTGTCAGACATTTCATTTGATTTTCTTTTAATTGACCCTGTCTTACCACTTGACCTCTAGGAGTCGCTAGAGAACATACTACATAGTGTAAATTTGGGGTCCAAGTCATTCCAAATAACAATTGTTAGTGGTTGTATAAGGTGTGAAGCAACCATTTTGGGGATGTCTCCCAATAGTTCACACCACCACAAGTAGCAGACTGACAAGTGACTCAAGGTTGAAACCCTTTTCCAGTTTTTGTTACTGTTTATAGTCGACACTTTTTCTGCAATAGCCATCAATATATTTACATTCAGTAATTAGCTCGCTACACTTGTCTTGTCGGGTGGCTGTGACTCAGAGTTAGAGCGGGTCGTCCACTAATCGAAAGGTTGTTGGTTAAATCCCCTGCTTTTCCACGCTGCATGTTGAATTATCCTGATCCCCAATTGCTCCAGATGCTGTGTGAATGAATGAGTGAGTTTCTGTTTAATGGGCTTTGCCATCACTCTGTGAATGTGTGTGAAAGGTGAATGTGGCATTCAATTCAATTCAATTCAATTGTATTTGTATAGTGCCAATTCATAACAAAAGTTATCTCAGATTACTTATAGAACAGGTCTAGACTGTAACATTAAATACAGAGACCCAACAGTTCCCACCATGGTTTTCTGGCCTTTAGCTTTACTGTTTTGTGGTTCACTCTCACCATTCTAATTGTCTAAACTGTTGTTTTCTGTGCAGGAGGTAGCTGTTTTTGATGAAAAAGCTTAAATAAAGCCATCCCTTGTACACCACATGCCTAGCACCAAACCAAAAGTGGATAGACAAAGTAAACGACTTGCTGGTGAAGGTAGTGGAGCATTAAGCTGCTGAAGAGCCAGACTTTTTCAAACACAAATGAATGCTAGTGTTGCTCCATGTCTGCTAGATATGTAAATAAGCAACTCTTTGCTAACACGTTTGCCATATCAACTTAAAAGAAAAACATATTGCTGGACTCGGCTACCTGGCAAGACCAAGGACCAAGATAAGTCTGAGGCAAGTCAGAGTGCAAATACCACCAAGTCAGTCAGTCAATTCAGCACCGATTCACATACAACAGTTTTCGAAGGTACAAAAGAAACAGTGTTGTCCTACTGATTTAGCTCATTTTGGAAAATGATGACAAACAACATATTTGTCATTTAGTTTTGAAGGTTTGTTGCAATCTTTATTTCTTCGAAAGAAAACAACGAAATTCTCCACACAAAATCTTTCCATATGAGGAAAAACCCATCCAACATTGATTTACTCCAATAACACAAGTCCAATATAATCATTCCAGTGAAAGTCCCATAAAAGAAATGTAATATCAGGTAGGAGAGAGTGGGAGAGCGTTCAGGAAAGGTCAGTGGCAGCTTTCCTCCACTTCCGTTATACATTGCCTTGTGGAACCCCAATTTACATCAACACAACCAATACCATCAGTTTTATAAACTGAGTAATTCTGATATGTAGTCAACATGAATTTTTCCAAATTTAGAAACAACTAAACACTTTACAGTTGTCCCACCATAGTAGCTCAAATGCAAGGAAGCCAGTCGTTGCATGTTCCCCACATTAACATGTTAAAAGCAATTTTTCTCCATCATTCTATCACTCCCTTCGCCATCTGCTATTACCAGAAACTCTCAATTTGGTTCAATTTAGGCAAAAGGAAAAGCATCATATTCCAGTGAAACGGTCCGGCACATTTTATGGATGGCAGCCCTCAGCCAGGATCATGTAATACAAAATGCTTCATGGAGGCCGGTAGGAGATGCAAATCTTCCTGTAATGGTCTTGTTTGTTTACGGTAATTATCGTAATGGCACAAAATGACTGTGATTCACCAATGTTTAAATGCACATTACATTTTCATGAATGTTTTCAAGGAGAAGAGAAACAGTGGAACAGACTGAGAGGGAGGTATGGTAGAGAAGCGGACAGACAAGAGTAGGAGAAAATTATGGAGGAGAAGAAGAAGAGAATTTAATATAGCATTAATACACAATGTGAGACAAGGAGGAGGAGAGGGTGGGACGAGGAAAGTGATTTAGCAGAAAGGAACAAGAATAACAACAAAGAGTGAGGGATGAGAAAGACAGGAATAAAAAGTTTAAATGAAGACAGGAGGAGATCATGAAAATGGGACTGAGGTGGATTGGGGCAGGAACAACAGAGACATAGCTGAGAGGGAGGAAATGACAAGAATGCACTTAATGGATGGAGAGAAAGACAATCTGAGACAGGAGAGAGGTTAAAAGAGCGCGCAGAGACACTCATCCAGTTAAAATAACTTTACATTCATTATATTCACTCTGTACTCCCTGTAGCATGATAACACTGCCTTCACTCTCTCCCTTCCTTTACTTGTTCTATTGTTCCATCCTTCCCTCCCTCCTTTCCTTTCCATATAAGTCCTTCCTGTCTTTCATTTCTCCTACACGCCTGTCTTAAATCCCTCTTCCATTTTTTCTTCCCTCCTCGCTCCTTTCTTATTATCCTAATGTATGGGGACCAGATTTGTCTGGGATTGTCCCGGATTCAAGCTGGGTGTCCAGAGTCCTGACAAATATCTGTTAAACACTAAAATTTCAACATTTACTACCACATTGTCCTGGTTTTTTAGCATTTAAAATTATAATTATAATATCATACTTATTTTCAGTGCATATAGATGTTTATAGGCTTACTCCTTCGTACTAAATGCTACATTGATGGTGGAAAGGTGTGCTCGGTAGGTTGGCCAAGCACTGAAAGAACTGTCCCCATTTCTGATGGAAACATCTATAGTGCATCCATAAGCACATACATATGCACATTGCACAAATGTGCTGTACATTTAAGGGTTCTGGTTTAGGAGTTTGATAAAATGTCCTCATATTATTATTATTATTTTTTATTAGTCAAGCAACATAGCTCAAGGGCCACACATCCTTTGTAAACAGTCTACAGGAAGTAGAATGCTGATGTTTAGCAGGTGTAATGTTTATTATGTGCATCATGTTAGTTTAGTGTGTTAGCATGCTAACATGTGCTAATTAGCGCTAAACACAAAGTACTGCTGAGGGTGGTGGGAATGTTAGGTATTGGACAAATTAAGATTTGATCTGATGACGTACAATGAAAAGTCAGGGGCTCAGCAGTCATAAGGATGCACCAAATTTCATGACAATCCATCCAATAATTGTTGAGATATTTCAGTCTGAACCAAAGTGGTGGATCG